TTTAATTGTTCAATTTATTATTTATTAAATAAAATGATACACTGGGGCACTTGGGTGATGTTTCCAAACGTAGCCTAGATGATGGATCAAGGTCAATTTTTATTTAGAATTTATAGATATGAAGTCGTAAACTTTCGAAGGGGTCTTTTGGACCCACGATGACCACCACGAATTACACAGAATATCGCGTATTTTGTCTAATCTAATTATAATAAAATTATGAGTTATACCAAGTAGGTCCGATGTCGAAACAATTGTAATTGGAGAAGTTCCCATGGCAGAGTAGCTATACGAGTGTCTCTTACACGAATATATGCATGAGACTGAAGGAGAGAAAACAAAAATGAGAGAGTGCGCATGCGGTAGATAAATAAAACTTCGATCTCGCATAAGAACTTTTCTCTTTAATATAAAGCAATCATGCATTGAATTTTCTCGGGTGGTAAGTGAACTCTATTATAGACGTAGTTCAAAGAAACGCTTCTAAGTTATATGTATGTATCTATCCACATAATAATATAGGTATAATAGTCCATTATGTAATTTACGATATTTGTACTAAAATGTGCTCTAGAAGACAGAATGTGAATCAATGGAAAAAAGAGGGGAGAATCGTAGATTATTGGTGTTTTCATACTCACTAGCATTTCGAACTTCGTAAAGATATGATCCAGAAAGGAGATCAGTTCTTTATCGTAAATAGAATTCTACTGCTTGCTGTTGGCTTATGGCCCTATCAACAATCAAACTTCACTAGATATCAACATGTTTCCATTTCTGTACTAATGACAACGATTATTGTATTTCAGGTAAGAAAGCATAAAATATACTATAATAATGCAAGTTATATAAACTCCTAATCACTGGAAGTTTTATTAAATTTGTGTTTATCTTTTTCTATATTATAAAATGATATTTGTATTAAATATATTATAACCATTATTAATAAAATTTGTGAATAAAATTAAATAAAATTGTTTACTAACAGTTGACAACATTTTTAACGTTAAGATGTACTTTGGATCTCATCATGAAGGTTTTGTCTTCCGCATCTTTCTGCACTGCTTTTCTGATAAACTACGGCTCGTTTTGTTTTAACATTCGAGATGTAAGTTAATCATTTATGAAATATTTATTAAGTAACCTTCTTCAATTATGTACTTTTTAAATTAAAATATTTGCTTTGAGATATACAAAAGTTGTTGATAGGTAAAGGATTTATTGACGCAACTGCAACACATATATAACAAACTAGAAAATAAAAATGAAATTATTATCATGAAAAAATATAACTCCATTTCAAATCATTATACAGCTACATTTATAAGTAAGACAACTTTCATTAACTTTGAATATAATATTTATAATATGTAAGCTATCAGGTGGAAAAGAACTGTTTCGAAATTAAAATGTTTGGTATAGGCACATACACATACCCATTTGTAGGTGCACGCGAACAAATATGTGTATGTGGAAGAGGACGTGTGCATGTGTAAATGTGTTTGCATACGAGATATCTGTATGTGCTTGTAATACATATATGAATTTATTATGACATTTGTGTATATGTATCATGTGTGTATTTGAAATACATAGCAAGTGTGTTTATAAATAAAATTCAAAGCAGAAACAACTATTAGTTGGGCAGTAAGATTTTATTGTAACTAGTTCATAAATTAAATAATATTTCTGTTCGCATCCGGTGTGGTGGTTTTATCCACTGCACCGTGGTTTCGCTTATTTAATAACGGAATATTGTGTGTATCATTATGTTTTATTCTTATAATAGATTATCTATATTTTGATGTGTTATAATACGTACGCTTTGCTCGAGGTAGCAACGCTTTCCTCGAGGTGGCAACGCCTGGGGGTATCGTACCCTGAGCCACGTTGGTTGAGTCGCAATGCTTTGCTCGAGCTTTGCTCGAGGTGGCAACGCCTTGGGGTCTCGGCCCCGAGCCACGTTGGGTGAGTCGCAATGATTTGCTCGAGCTTTGCTCGAGGTGGCAACGCCTCGGGGTATCGGGCCCCGAGCCACTTCGTTTGAGTCGTAACGCTTTGCTCGAGCTTTGCTCGAGGTGGCAACGCCTTGGGGTATCGGGCCCCAAGCCACGTCGATGGATTCTTTCTCTGTGCCCTTTTTTGGGGTGGCAACGCCTTGGAGTCTCGGCCCCGAGCCACGTCGTTTTGGAACACTCGTTTTTGATGCCCTTTTGGCTGCGGGAGCTCGCTCGTCTTCACTCGCTGTCGATCTCTAAAGGACTGTGTGGTCTCAAGACTACGCTATCGAACCTTTGCTCTCGCTCCCCCCTTTCCCCGTCATGCCCATTGGTCGGTCGATCTCTTACGATTCCGCCGTTCGGCGATTGGGGGATCGGTGGGAGTTCACTTTCCTTTCGATGACGAGCGAGCGTTCCCTTTGTGACGCATCGAGTGTTCTTTTTATGACGCATCTAATGTTCGGCTTGTCGTGCATGACGTCGTATACTTATTTGTTTAGGATGTAGACACAAAGAGTGGTCATACGCATTTGCTTAATACCTAGATATGGAGAATGGTCTCAACAATTTCTTTTCAATTTTCTTTAGCACTTGGAGTTAGCGGCATATTTACCGCTATTGTAATGCAATTTTCATCAAATATGATTGGTGTTGATTTACTGACGAATGCATCTCGATCATATTATTTTCTATTTACGGTGGAATATTTTGTGGATGAAGAAAAGTATTTTTATTTAATTATGTTGCATATCAATGCAGTTGTTTTCATTGGAGTGATTGTAACAGTAGCAACTGGTGCATTAATGGTTAAATGTATTCAGTATACCTGTGGAATGTTTAAAATTGCTAGGTACGAACACAGAAATAACCTTACTAGCATGAAATG